GGGGGGGGGGGGGTGGTTTTGCTGATTCGCACAGTCTGGACCAGGGTTGCGTTCTCCTGGGTGTAGGATGGACGATCGAGCAGCACATAGAGTAGTATGATGCTGGTGTCTTTGCTTGGGATCTAGGGTTCCGTCAGATATGATACAGTATGGCGGACGTTAGGTCGACATTGTGGTGCTTGATAGTCATCATTGCAAAGGTCATGGTGCGAAGAGAATTGTGCGAATGCCTACATTGGCATTTAGCCTGTTGACAGTGTGTTGAAGCAGGGATGTCAACGAACCACACGATGTGAGATTCAATGCGTGAGGGTAAGATTTCTGGGAGGCTTCTCTCAGGATCTCACGATGGCACCATGTGTGGCAGGTCTTTGGTGCTTCGGGTTCAGGGTGCAGTAACAAGTTGGGGATGTAAAAGTGCATCTATGGAAAACTACAGAGGTGACAGTACATGCTGCCTTTGCTCCGTCACCATCGTCATGGTCATTAACATCAACATCAACAAAAGTTTCATCTTCGTCTTTGGTGAATCCTCGAACCTTTGTGTGATCATTTCAAGTCGTCAGTCGACCGAGCCGCTGTGGCCTCTCTGCGATGGACCGAGCGTAAGTAAACTCTGCTCGAAACCGTTGCAACTTCGACATTCATAGACACAAACAGACAGACGTGATTTTGGTACTGTGTGCTGACTAGCGTCAGTCAGTCTTACACACCATTGACACAGCTCGTTTGCATTTGGTTCGGCTGCGGCGGTCAACACTCACCGCATCCTGCGCTGGTTCTCCCGCCCATGCCTTGGCTTGAAGCTATTTCATCCGAAGCTCGACCGGCAAAAAGGCAACAAGGAAGCGGTTAGTAATCGTGCGGACACAGTGGATTCATTGCAGGACGTCTGGCGCAAACCAGAAAGACCTGCTGCTGTTCGAGCACCTGGCTGCAAGTCAGGCTCCTTGAACCAAACGAGGTCAAGAGCTTGTGGCTGTCAGAGTTTTTGCATCTCCGTTGTTGAGCACCTTTGCACGAGTTTGAAGATTTCGATGCCCATCGTGCGGAAGTCGTAGTCTGGGCTGGGAGGCTTCAGGTTACGACTTTGCAGTCCCATGCGCACTGTCGCAATCTCGGTCTCTGTTATTCTCTTGACCAGAATCCCTCCACCCCAGCCCGCAGCCCGTAGCCTGGCAATACTTGCACCACAACATTCGTCTTGAATGCATCTCCCTTTACAGTAACGTGCAGGCATGTGGATCTCTGCTACTGGTGGGATTCAAGAGCCACCTTCCAGTTTCCAGTTCATGTCGCCGAGGAGCCTCTGCAGGACTGGGTGTGCCGTGCCCCTCAGCTTGATCCAGCAATGGCTCTAAAGAAATGACAGCCCTCAGGTGGAAGTCTCGAATCCTGGACCTTTCCTGTGCATGTCGGATCACAGATTCGTCACCTATTTTCGGAACGGTGCATACAAGACATGGTATATTCGTTTAGTACACCATCCTTGTGAAGTGCCGCGTGCCGACGAAATTGGCTGGGTATTACCCAAACCAAAAGTTGCGGAGAAAGGTATCGGCTTCTACGGAGTGGCTTCTCAACTCGGATTTAGGAATGCTGTCGTGCAGCAAGGTCGAAACGGATAGCTACTTTGCCGCGGCCAACTTCCGCAGGTTCGTTGTTGGTCGGAATTTGACTGCAGAGGACTGGCAAAGGGGGATGTTTTGACACCGGAAACGAGGTGGGTTTGCGGTTTCGCGGGTATGCAGCACGTGCTTCAGGCCTGATTTTCGCTCAAGGCAGTTTGCTTGTGATCGCGGTTATCTTGCAGCCTCCGCCGTTCTCTGTACGGTCATGGCCCTGCCTGCCTGATTTATAAAGTATTGAAGCCATTTCCCGTAGTTACGTAACCAAAGTTAAAGGAGAAAGTATCCTTGGCAGTATCTTTTTTGTGAAAGGTCTCGTCTCCAGTCCCAGCTGCCTGTCGTCGTAGGAGCCGTTGTACCTTGGGAGCTTGGCATACTGGCAAGTACACTTCGAGCCGCGCATCCTTTACAATGAGCAGGCGGGGATGGCGCAGCTCAACGCCTCACAGCAGTGAATGAAAAGGCACCGAAGATTGACTTTGATTGCCCAGGGTCCTCTCCCGCATGCCTTTGGACCTTGGCCCCTGAGAACAATCAAAAGCTTTGCTGAGCGCCACCTTGTTGAGGTCCAATGTCTCAGCCGAGCTGCAGTGCTGCGAATGGGTGCTGTAGTCAAGGTACGACCGTCTGAACGGGGACTCATTGAGTTTTTTTTCCTGGTTTTACTCCGAGTGAAGTTGGAGCTGCGAAGCGGCCGGAGACAATGTTCCGTCCTCTGACATCTCCGTGGAGTTTTCTCAGAAAGCATGTTTTATATTAGGCACATAGAGGGCGAATCTGAATCCGGACCAGATACCTCAGAATTCCAACGTGCATCCGGCACGATGACATGACGAACAAGGGTTCAGATGGTGACTGGCTGAGGAATTCGGAAAAGTTGGCAAGGTCGTACCAACCCTGCTAGGAAGATGGAGAGAACGAGATATGAAGTGACATGAAGACGTCTTGACTTCGGGACCTTAGGCACCCTGCATGATCTGGAGGCGGCGCCAAAGGCTGCAGCTGCGACCTATGCGCGATGCGAGGCTTGAGTCAACGAGAGGGACTGGCGAGGCTTTTCCTAAATTAGGCATGGTGTATCTAGGAGTAGTTCAATGGCGAGGTATGATGGCTGAGTTTGCCAAGCATGAAGATATATTGTTGAAGCAGATTGTTCCTTTTCTGGAGTTGGAATCTTCCAAATCACTGCCGGGCACGAGCACTCGGACGTTGTGTCGCTTTTCAGGCGGATTGCTTTTGTCGTCGAGCTTGAAGGCAACCGTCTCAGCTGCAGAAGAGCAAGCATGAAGTCCGGCTTCGCTTTGCTGGTTTGGATCAGGTGGCTCCTGGACATCGTGGGGACATCATGACTTTTGGCAACAATTTAGCTGTTCGCCGATTGCTTCGGGCCGCAACATGTGCCGAAATTTTCGTTGTTATTATCATACTGCTGCCTTAGAGCAAAGTGATCTTAGTCAGTATTTTGTTCTCGGTTGGTGTAGAGCTGTCATGCTCGAAGATGCTCGACATGGGAGGAAGCAGGGAAGGCAGCAGGAGGTAGTGAAGCTGATCTGACGGCACGGCTTGCGAGATTTCATACAGGCCGGCTGCAACGAAGAGGCAGCCTGCGAGCCCAGAAGTCCTGCTTCTTTTGTCGAGCACGAGAATACGAAAGCCCAATCCTTGTGCAGCCTTCAACTGTTTTGAGGATGGGACTTTGCCTGGCTGACTCTTGATTCCAAATAAAGCCGGCACTGGCAGCAAAGAGCTACGAGCTGCAAGTTTCCACGGCAACACAAATGCTGTGTACATGTCCGATAGTCAGAGAGCAGGAGCAAAGGAAACCTTGCGAAAGCACCGTTCGATCTTTAGGTCATGCTTCGAAGGTCACCTAGGCGGAACGAAGACAAACAGAAGTTCTTATCCAGTGGCAGCACGGTGTGAATAAATCAGCGCTGGCATACTTCTATTTCTTCGTTTGAGAAGCATCCGGCTGGGAGTGCAAATCTGCCCCTTTGCACACTCTAGGCCGATGCTATTGCTGCTCTTGTTATGTTGGTGATTGTCTGCCTCACTGGCTTGGACATTGTATCCCAACCTCCAGGCCCAAGCAATCCCAAAGCCATCTTGAAGCAAGCAGTTTAGAGCTGGTTGCTGCAAGCACACTGAACAATGCTTGGTTCTCAACCGCGAGGCCGTTATGAGGATGTTTCTGCTGGTGACAGCGTTCACATCTCGAAAAACTCTGAGGTCCAAATCTTCTGAGTCATTGTCCACCACAATCCCTGCACAATACAAGCAATCTCCACCTGTCCTGAGGAAGCGGGCATCGGACCGCATCCGGATGTAACTGACCGATGGGGCCGCGAGTACTTCATGAACTTTCGCATGGAGGCCAGAATTGGTTTCAGAATGCAGCTAGCCTTTTGGTTTGGGTCGAGCATCCTCGTGCAGATTGGGTGGCAGGACATGGCTGCCCATGCACCTGACAACGCCTATGGGGAGCTCATGGCGGACCCAAGGGAGATTACCAGCAACTCGGTGCAGACCTACACAGACCGAACCTCCGATGACCAGGACTGGTGCATTCTATGAACTAATCAGAGCTAGGAACAGCGTAGTTTTCTGCATGCAACTCCCAGCTGGCACGCTGCGCACTTGACCTTCACACTTCCGAGTCGGATGAGTGGGGCTGACCTTTAGGGTTATAGGTTTTGCTCTCCCCAGCGACTTTGGTCTCAGGCAACGCAGCGATCCATTGGCGAGGAAAGGCGCAACCTGGAAAAGACTTTAGCCTGAGTTGTTCAAAGGCTTCTCGGGAGCAAGGGCCTTGAGGGAAACCAGACCTGCTTCGCGAGATCGCACGGAGGTTCCCACATCATACTCGTAGCTCAGCAGTTCACAACCAACCCAGATCCAAGAATGGAGGCACAATCTGTTGAGTGCAATAAAAAAGAAGTCATGGCACAGCAGTGTGCCGCGGATGTTCGAGAAGTGACAAACCGGTAGTTTGCCACCGAGATACCAAAGCTGCTAATCGATAGATACAGTTAGAAGCTCGGTGCTGAGGCCGCACCTGGCTGTGACTGTAACCCAATTACACGTCCTAGACCTGAAAAAAACGGCATTGCCGAAACACGGGACCTTGAACCAAGCCGATGGTACTTGTACATGCGATCTCGAGCCCATGGACCGGAACGTCCACGCCAAAGCACCGTAAGAGACCCTAAACCCGTAAACCCCGAAACCCGAAACCCCTGAACCCCTAAACCTTTGCTTTACAGCCGCCGCCTGCGGCCCTGCACACTGGAATGACGACAGCTGGTCTGCGAGAACTTTTGGGGAGACTGGAGCTAGAAGATGCGGCGTACGTGGCACATGGCATCCTCACTTTTCTGGGAAGGCTGCAAGGGGAACACCCCAGAGTCGCACGTAGCCAAAAGGTGCAATGCTTTAGGAGACAACTGGCGAGGACCTGCGGTGTCTTCGTGAGGCCACATACTGCCCCGACCAGTGACGATGCCAGACCCGCGGGGCTTGAAGCGGTCTTGCAGGAAATACAAGTCAGGTTGAGACTGCGCATGTGGTTTTTGTGGGTGGACGATGCTCTGTCGTCCATGGTCACCGTGAGTGACTGAGACCTGTGTGGCTGAAGCAAGATGAGGCTACACAACCAGAGGAACTGAAGTGCGCACTGTCTGTGATGGAGTGGAATTTACAGAAAGGAATTTATGCCTGCATGGAGGAACCTGCATGGACTGGAGAGGCTGAATCTACTGCATGCTGCATGGATATATCTGCATTGGTGGGAATTGGAGAGTGACGAATTTATTGCATGAAGCATGTCAATCTGTGTTTGCATGATGTATTGGAATTTGTTTTTCTGGCTGGGATGTCGAGAGAGGCTCTGGGCATGATGGGAGAACCGTGACACGTGAGATCTCGATGAAGGTCAACCAATTTCTGTATTAGGATGGAGCGAATTCAAAGACTGCAATCAGCTACGAATTCATCGAGCAGCTTGCAACCTGAATGTGCAGTGAGTGGGACAGTTGCCTGCATGGTGCATGGTGGATGTTTTTGCGAGACCCTGAAGTTGTTCATGTTGTCCCGGCCAGTTGATGATTTAACGAATGAGGGACAGCACGACAAATAGCATGAACCAGTGGATGTAATTGTGAGTAGTGGATGTGGATGTGTTTTCACCGCCCTCGGATAATGTGTCTGAGTCAATGATGCTGAGAGTAGCCAATGAGCTCGTCGTTCTGGTACTTGGATCCTCGCCTGCTTGTCTAGCTGTGAGTGCTGAAACCCCTAAACCCCTAACTCCGAGGCATCTCTTCATGCCTTGCTTGTGGATCAACCGCTTCTGGGCTTCACCATGGCCGATCAGCTTCCATGACTACAAGGCAGCATGAAATATCCACATACGTATACATATAATTCATATACATGTATGTATGTATGTATGTATGTATGTAAGTATGTATAATATACAAGTGTATATATATGCATATATATATATATACATACGTGTATATATGTATTTGTATCACATGCTTCAGGTACAGGAGTTATTCTGACCAAACCTTTCAGCGCATCTTCGAAACCCCGAAGTGGATGTAATAATGCAGCGGTTACCACCACCACTGCCACTTCTACCGCCGGTATCGCGGCTCGGCCACTACTGTTCAAATACCTCCTTTTTCCAGAAATAAGTCTAGTACTAGTGACTAGTAGGAGCCACACCAGTTTCTATAGCAGTAAAAAGTGGTAATGGCCGTCGTCGCCGTACCACTAGTACCAGTACGCGCATAGTGCGGGGTTTGCCCCCCCAACATTTGTCCACACTGGGTTTAGGGTTTGGCTACCAACATCTTCTTTTGGGATTTTGGTCTTTCTCTCCGACATTTGTTTTTTAAGGTTTAGGGCTTGGCTACCAAAATCTCCTTTTAGGGTTTAGGGTTTGGCTACCAACATCATCTCCTTTTGGGGTTTAGGGTTTCGCTACCAACATCTCCTTTTAGGGCTTAGGGTTTGGTTACCGACATCTCCTTTTAGGGTTTTGGGTTTGCTAGCCAACATCTCCTTCTAGGGGTTTAGGGTTTGGCTACCGACATATTTTTTTTGGGTTTTGGGTTTGCTTATCAAGATCTCTTTTTAGGGTTTCGCGCTTGGCTATAACATCCCCTTGTAGGGTTTCGGGATTGGCTATCAACATCCTCTTTTAGGGCTTATGGCTTGCTTACCAACATCTCCTTTTACTTTTTAGGGTTTGCTTGACGACGTCTCCTTTTAGGGTTCAGGGTTTGGCTACCAGGATTTCCTTTTGGGGTTTAGGGTTTGCTGACCAACATCTCCTCTTCGGGTTTAAAGTTTGGCGTTCAACATCCCTTTTTAGGGTTCAAGGTTTGCTTACCAACATCTCCTCGTAGGGTTTCGGGCCTGGCTATCAACATCCCCTTTGAGGGTTCAGGGTTTGCTTACCGACATCTCCGTTTAGGGTTTTGGGTTTGGCTACCAACATTTCCTTTTAGGGTTTACGGTTTGGCTACCTTCATCTCCTTTTTGGGTTTTGGGTTTGCTTACCGACATCCCCTTTTAGAGCTTAGGGTTTGGCTACCAACATCTCCTTTTGGGTTTTGGGTTTGCGTTCATTGCGCTGCGCAACAAGAACATGGCCAAGAAACGGCCCTGCGGCCTGAGCCCTGCTGGCTGCCTCGAAGTCTCAAAAGTATTGTGCTGGCCATGTATTATGAGGTTTCGGCTGCCGCGGCAGACACCAATTTGCGCGAAAAATTTGGAATTTTTTTTGCGGAAATCGTCTGCTGCCATCACAACCCTCGAACTCTCGACAGTACTGCGCGTGCCACGTATTTTGCAAATCTCTGCCTGTCAAACAAAACTCCTGGGGGCAGAGCCGACACTACGCCCGTACTAGTAGTAGCAGCAATAGCCGTAGCAGTAGCAGTAGTAGTAGTAGTAGTAGTAGTAGTAGTCGCAGCAGTAGCAGTAGCAGTAGCAGTAGTAGCAGAAGAAGCAGAAGCAGTATCAGCAGCAGCAGCTAATTATTGTCGTTGCAGAGGTGTTGGTGACGTGCGCTCTATGTTTGTGTTTAAACTTTTAGCCTGTATGGATGGGGCCCGGGCTATACACCATTAGGGATTTCTGAGGATTCGGGTTGAACTGCTTGATACTTGCCTTTCCAGCGGCCATGCTTTGCAAACACAGCTACATTTATCGGAATTTGCACAGGATCCCGAGAAGCTGCGGGAGGTTCCTTGGCACAGTGTTTATGTTTTTGCTCGGCGTTCCTCCGAACATCGAAATTGCCATTGGGATCATGGGGTATAGTGTCCTTCATGATCAGAAACATTCATAGAATTGAGACCGCGCTTCGGGGCCGCAGTTCAGGACTCCAGCTTCGAACCCCAGACACTCGGCCCGACCAAGACCCAGAGCAACAAAAGCAAGAGTGATTCTGTTGCGATGCCGCGGGAGTTCACGTATCATTATCCCCACAAAACCTGGCAACCCCTAGCTCAATGCTAAGACCTTGATCGCAAGACCATTCATGAAACCCTGGTTCCCCAAAGTGATCTTAGTTCTAAACCCGAAACGCTTCATTTGATTTAGATGTTAGGATGTATGAGGTGCACGAAATCATGCATGGCCGCCAAAGCTGCCGGCGCTGCCCCGATGGTTACATTCCTCGCCTGGCAGAAGCAAAGCAGCGACTTGTTTGTGTGCTTGACATGCATGCAATAGAAAATCAAAGCCCTAGTGAAAATTCAGTGTTCATGACAAACATAATCAGACTGAAGCTAGTACTATCAGCCGAACGGAGACTGGTGCATCAAGCCCAAGTTTCGCACGACCGCCGAAAGAAAGCCGAATACTATTGAAAATCAAAAACATCCACCAATAACAAACACTCAACACTGAAGTTGCGAACCACAAGATCTTTGCTTCGCAGCCGCGACGCCTGAAATCCTTAAACACGTAAAACCCTTAACACGAACACCCTTGACCGTTAACGATAATCCCTTGAACCGAAGACTGCAGCAGAAACAGAACCTTGGGAAGTGTGATTGGGCGACATGTCTCGAGGTACGTAAGAGTACCAACAAGAACGGAAAGCCGCTAGGAAGAAGGGTAATATGGGCATTTATGGACAGTGCCAACTGATGACAGCACTGTAGTAAGAGCAAGTGCGAGACCAACTAGAAATCATGAGGATGAGAGTAGTGACGGGCAACGCATGCATAAATTCCATGCCGCAGATTGATGCATGCTGCAAAAAACCGGGTGGGTTTGAAGCCGGGCCTTTCACATCCCCCGTGTCAATGT